TGTCTATGGGCAGCTGTACACATCATCGTTGGAGCCACACGCAAGTGTGAGTAACGATCCAAGAGTAAGTCTTATCCGACACTATTCCGATGATATCCCGGACGTCAGTCTGAGCGAGATTAGAACAGCTCTCCAGCACCTTAAAGACGGCAGGGCCCCAGGGGAGGATGGAATTACAGCGGAGCTCCTGAAAGCGGGTGGAACATCGGTACTTGAAGTCCTTCAGAAGCTCTTCAATTCCATCCTCCATGGTGGCACTACTGCGGAGGCGTGGAGCAGAAGTGCCGTGGTCTTGTTCTTTAAGAAAGGCGACAACGCTCCCTTGAAGAACTACGGACCGATTTCCCTTCTCAGCCGCGTCTACGTGCTGTTTTCGAGAGTCATTACGAATCGTCTCGCACGCAGACTCGACGACTTCCATCCTCCCGAACAAGCCGGTTTCCGAAAAGGCTTCAGTATCATAGACCACATACATACCCTGCGGCAGATTGTACAGAAGACCGAAGAATACAATCTGCCACTTTGCCTGGCGTATGTGGACTATGAGAAAGCCTTTGATTCCGTCGAAATTTGGGCGGTGCTACAGTCCCTTCAGCGATGCCAAGTTGACTGTTGGTATATCGAAGTGCTGAAGTGTTTGTACAGTAGGGCTACGATGGCTATCCGAGTACAGAACCAGAGTTCGAAACCTATCCAACTGCAGAGAGGTGTAAGACAGGGTGACGTTATATCCCCGAAACTCTTCACCGCATCATTGGAAGACGTTTTCAAGCTACTGGGCTGGAAAGGATACGGTATTAACATCAATGGCGAGTACATCATTCACCTTTGATTTGCCGACGATATAGTCCTTATGGCGGAATCGCTGGAGGACCTAAGCACTATGCTCAATGACCTCATTGGTGTCTCCCAACGGATAGGTCTTAAGATGAACATGGACAAAACAAAGATTATGTTTAATGTCCATGTCACACCTATGCCGGTAGTTGTTGGGAGCACTATGCGAAGTTGTTGACGAGTACGTTTACCTGGGACAAATAGTCCGACTAGGTAAGTCCAACTTCGACCGAGAGGTCACCGACGGATTCAACTCGGCTGGGCAGCGTTCGGTAAAATACGACACATCTTCTCGTCAGGTATACCTCATTCTCTGAAAACTAGGTTGTACAACCAGTGCGTGTTGCCAGTGATGACTTACGGATCTGAGACGTGGTCCTTCACTGCTGGCCGTATGAGGACGCTCAAGGTCACTCAGCGAGCTATGGAAAGGGCTATGCTCGGAGTTTCTCTGCGTGATAGACTCAGAAATGAGGATATCCGCAGTAAAACCAGTGTGACCGACATAGCCCAACGGATTAGTAAGCTGAAGTGGCAATGGGCCGGCCATATAGCTCGAAGAACCGATAACCGATGGGGAAGAAATGTTCTCGAGTAGCAGCCTCGTACCGGTAGGCGTAGAGTAGGGCAACCCCCACTAGATGGAGTGACGACCTGGTAAGATATGCAGGAAGTTGATGGATGCAGGTGGCTCAGGACCGTGCTTTGTGCCATTACTTGGGGGAGGCCTATGTTCAGCAGTGGACTTGTGAAGGGCTGTAATGATGATGATGATAATGATAATAATAATTTATAATAATTAAAATTATAAAAAACATAATTTATTATTTATTAATAAATAATAATAATTTCGTTATTTTCTTTTTTCTCTTTGCACGATATTATAATCATTTCAAACTAGCGTACAACAGCCCGCTTTTATTGAGACAACTTAGCGATCGCATCGCCTCACTTATTTTGTCCATATTTCTGGGACACTTTTCTACAGCGATCGTTCTCCTGTTTTCTAACCTCCATGTACTATACAATCAAAGTAGACAGAGTGGAGTTTTGGCGGGAACTTGGCCGTAGATGGATTGTCGCTCCTGTTTTGTCGCTTGAATAATGGTTTGAAGTGGATTTTGATTCGTAAAAGTGATGCGATTTTGTGAATTAAGTGTCCGCGCGTGTGAAATATTAGAGAAAACGATGAAACAAGTGTTTTGATGTCGTAATAAACCTCAAGTTATTTTGATTTATTGGGCCTTATGACCTGTAATGACTGTCGTAATCAATTGTCCGCTAGGTTGAGCTGTTGTCAAAATTTTCCAAGGGCTTCACAATGTGACGCATCAGCATGTTGTGAAGAAAAAGAACATAAAATGAAGATTCCAAAAGAAAGGATAGGCTCAGAAGGTCTAGAAACCAGAGCCGTGAAGCCAGTTAATAAAAAAGTAGCAAGTAACCCAGTGCCGTAAAGCCAGTTATAATAATAAGTAGACAGAGCATAGTCTATCTAGTGGAAGAGGAGTTACTGAATCTCTTTGAAATTTGATAGGATTCTCTGTATACGTTTGAGACAAAGCAAGACAAAGCCTATAAATCACAGAACACTAGTTATCTCTAGTATATACTAGCTTGCTACATATTTATTTATCTATGGTATATACACAGTAATCTATGACTAGTATCACAGAGTACTTTTTTATATATAGGAAACTAGGTATACTAGTATCACAGATTCACAGAACACAATGGGTGCGTTTGGCAGAAAAAATCGCTAGCAAGCGCTTACAAGCGCTAAAATAGTTTTCGGCCAGTACACGATTGCTACTTCAATAGCGCTGACACAATCCGTCATTTTGCTTATTTAATTTGTTTGTTTTGAAGTAGAAATTATAAGTTGTTTTGTGCAATATTAGTTTTAAGTAATATAATGACAGTTTTGTTGGTTCTTTTTTTTTGTAAGTATATGAATAGACATATACATTTAAAAATTCTTAAAAAGTTATTAAAAATTCATGATTGGTAATTTTTAATATGAATACTTTACAAACATATATTTAAATTAGGTTAGGTTCCCCGGTTAAAACTAACATCGTGTCCTGGAGGAAAATAGCTACTTACGATTTGACAGCGCTTACCGCTTACGATCGCCATTTTGCTTACAAGCGCTTGCTAGCGCTTTTTTCTGCCAAACGCACCCATCCGTAGACAGAGAAACCTATAGACTAATGATCGTCGCTTTTTTCTCACTTAAACCAACTTGTACATAAACTCCTTAACTAAACAAAAAAACCGGCACGGTGAAAGGGACAAACAATCACACCGCTCTATCTCATTTCTATGCAAGACGTATGCATAAATCTATCTTTTTCGTGTGCGAATGCGAAAGAAGGCGTCAATTTGTCTATAGGTTTCTCTGTCTACGCACCCATCCAGTATAATAGTCACATAGTCAGTAATCAATGGGTGCGTTTGGCAGAAAAAAGCGCTAGCAAGCGCTTGTAAGCAAAATGGCGATCGTAAGCGGTAAGCGCTGTCATATCGTAAGTAGCTATTTTCCTCCAGGACACGATGTTAGTTCTAACCGGGAAACCTAACCTAATTTAAATATATGTTTGTAAAGTATTCATATTAAAATCTTACCAATCATGAATTTTAATAACATGTATATGTTTATTCATGTCATTATATTACTTAAAACTAATATTGCACAAAACAACTTATAAACTCTACTTCAAAACAAACAAAATTAAATAAGCAAAATGGCGGATTGTGTCAGCGCTACCGAAGTAGCAATCGTGTCCTGGCCGAAAACTATTTCAGCGCTTATAAGCGCTTGCTAGCGCTTTTTTCTGCCAAACGCACCCTATGATAATAGTATAAATTGCGTAGACAGAGTATAGGTTTCTGGGACCCGTCACGCACGATTTTATCTGAGTAGAATACACAGTAAAATGTCCCTTCGAAACAAGCGTACACTCTACAAGGTATGTATACGACCAGTCATGTCCTACGCGGGCCCCGTCTTTGCCCACGCAAACCCTAACATTTTAAGTGAACTCCAAATAGTTCAGAACCTATTCTGTCGTCGAGCTGCGAACGCACCGTGGTACGTTCGTAATGCCGACCTTCATCGGGACTTAGAGCTCCCAATAATTCAACAATTTCTTAAAAAACTCTCTGAGAACTTCTTCAAAGCCTCAGAGTCGCATCCAAACCATTTAATTCGTGAGGCAGCTTCTTATGCAGCCCCACCCCCCTCTCGCTATCGTGTCCGCAGGCCGAGAAACTCTCTGTCGGACCCGCCTAATAAACTTTCAAACGACCTGAACTGTCTTCTGGCGGCTCAGGCCAACTCTAATTAAATAAAATTATTGTAATATCTGACATTAATTTGCCTTCGTAGGCACTCCCTCAGCGGCACTTAGCCGCCTGCGCCCTCTTTTCCCAAAAGAGGGTCGCTCATGATAAGGCACAATAGAGCTTAATCAGCCGGTTGCCTGTCCCTAAAGGCGGTTTTTAGGGGGTATCACTTAGGGTCCCCGGTAGGACAGTGAGTCCCCCATAACCACGATAGACCGGCTATCGTGGTATGCGTAATGCATTTTCCGCCTCCCTACGTACAAGGTAGCCCTTTAATTGCTTCGGGCGCAAAAAAAAAAAAAAAAATAGGTTTCTCTGTCTACGATAAATTGCATCCATAAAGGGCGTCTGCATTCTGCAATGTTTTTAGCAGTTTAATTATTGCACTAAAGCTATCTATGTTACATAAGAAGTATTCTGGAAACGCTAATAGGTACTAGGTATCTGGTCTCCAAAATATATTGAACATAAGCTTATAAAAATATCGCCTGTAACCACCTGAAACCGAATGACAATAAAACCTTCCGTCCTTGGAAATATCAGACACTGTGTGTCAGGTGTCAGTGTCAGATCAGAATTCCGCGGACGCGGATTTAAAAATTTGTACAGTGCAGTGTGTGACAGCAAATTTTTTGTCATTTCGCGTTATGCAGGAACAACAATCTAAAATCGGTGCACGGCACCTATTTTTCTTAACTGTCTGTGTATTTTATTCGTTGTCACTCGCCGCAAAATAATAATTTTATCAATAACAAGTGAATATGAAAAATTGTAGAACACAGTGACTTAAATATATGATAAATTCGTCTGAAGACATGGAACTAATTCATCAGTCATTACGGCATGAAACATTGCTAATTACAGTAGAAGACCTCCCTGATGAAGTTTTGGAGTTTATATTGAGCTTTTTGCCTCCATATAAGGATCTCCAAAATTGTATGGCTGTTTGCAAAAGGTGGTGTGGTTGTGCTCAAAGTAAGTACCTATGACCCACAATCTTTGTTTATCTTAATGTCGGAAATATTAGCGCACTTTAGTTAGTTAATTTATAAATTTTAATTACTTAAATTAAAGATATATGCATCAATTCTGTTTTATATAAATTATATATTTTTTTTTACAGATGTTTTGCGTAAAACGTCCACCAAACTTGTAAAAGCTATTGCAGAATTTAATATATTATGGAAAAACATGACTGCAACTGATATAGTGCCTACTATAACTAAAAGGTTTTCACATGCAGCATGTATTCTTGAAAATAACATGTATATATTTGGAGGGTGTACTACCAATGCCACTTCATTCAATGATCTTTGGATGTTTGATTTATCAAAGAGACAATGGATCAGGCCTTTAGCAACAGGAACATATCCTGTACCAAAAGCTTACACATCAATGGTGACCTATAAAAACTGTTTAGTTGTTTTTGGAGGTTGGACTTATCCTTCACTCTCACAACACTACCAGAATGTTACTATGTTTAATGACATACATTTTTATTGTGTTAATACAAATAAGTGGATTCTTATAAATACTTCTAACCCTCCACCACCAATGGCAGGACATTCAGCTTGCATTAAAGGAGATGAAATGATTGTATTTGGTGGGCTAATTATGTCAGCAGCACAAAATTACCAAATACAGTGTTCTAATGATGTGTGGGTACTTGATATCGCTACATTCAGTTGGAGAAAACAAGCAACAACTAAGCCTCGTCCATCACCACGTTATGCTCAGTCACTCATAAGTTTGGACTCTGACAGACTAATGCTATTAGGTGGTGTGCAAACTTTGCATAATCGGTTTGTTTACAGTGATTGTTGGATATTAACCATGAAAGGTCCAACATGGACATGGAAGGAAATTGCAGTAAGGAATAAAGAATGGGCTGCAGCTAATATTTGGTGCAATCCAGCCTGTAGGGTTGGTGATAAAGTTGTTAGTCTTAGTAGAAGCAGGCATGGTTGGAATGGTGCAAAACCATTGGTCACTTCAGCTGTTAGATTATCTGCTCTAAGTAGGCCTGAAAGTGCTCCTGTATCCGTAAGGATAGAACAGAGTTTACAGAGACCTTTAGATCGGGATCAGAATATAAATGGAAGACGTGGAGTGTTACCAAGACAACCCTTAACTAGGCAAGCACTAATTAATGCTAGTAATGAGCCGATAGCAGGTCCCAGTAATGAGCAAGAAAGGGACAATAATGCTGAAGCAACTAATGAGAATGCTATTCCAGATATAAATAATACTGCAGGCCAAAGTAATAATGTCATTGATTTGAATAAAAAAGATGCAATTATGAGGAAAAATAAAATGAAGGTACAGTTTTATTATGTTAGTATATAAAGGCTGTTTGTTACTTTCTAATGTTTTAATTATGTAATATAATCTTCTGTTTCAGAATAAAGGAATGAAAATAGTGCGTCAACTACAGGAAGCTAATAAGTATCGGATGGCTGCATTTGCATGTGATTTATCAGCAAGCAACATACTAAATGAAAATGATCTTATAAACCAAAGACAATTAGCGCATTTAGAAAACAGATTGGAAGCTCATCCTCCTCAGGCTGTAGAAAATCAAAATAGACAACCTGCAGTAAAAAAGCTAAAACGAAATACTCTTACAATGCATGTACTGGATATTTCTACGGTTGTTGATGGCAACAGCATGAATTATGTATCATGGTTATGCCCTCGACTGGGAGAAATGAATGGAGCTCCAGAAGAGCTAGTTATGTACTCTTTGGTTAAAGGAAATGGTGAACTAATAATGTTTGGGGGAGTACACAATGACATCAGTATTTTAAACTACTCGGAACAGCAAAACATGTACTCAAACTCTTTACATTTTATCACACCTCCAAGAGACATTATATAAATTGTAACTAACAAATGTAAATTATGTTATTGTATTGTACAGTTTTTACTAATTATATCATTCAAGACAGTTTCTGAAAACCTTTTCTTTTTAGGTTTATTAGTTTTTGAATATTTTACCAAAAAATATAACAATGTCCGAACTAAATATGCAATTCAAAATAATAGTTATTTTCAACTAACTTTTAATATTGCCTTTATTGATTTTACTTTAGTCATGTTTGATAAATAAATTTTTATAAAAAAAAAGTTAAAATTCATGTAGATAACTATGTGACTAAAATTACTAATACAGAATTATTCTCTGATAGTGTCAAGTCACAATTCCAAAAATCTATGCACCTTATTTTAAATAATACATAATTTTTGATTTCAATGTAGGACTTCTTGTCACACAAGTTGTAATATTGATAATTTTTTAGGTGATTCTTAGACAGTCTAGCAGTAGTTACTATTGAAAAATAGGAAATGTAAATGTTAGATTGAGTTAGAGGCAATAATGCAACAGATGAAACTGGCCAGAAGGGGATCGGCTCTGGTCACAATAGGGCAGGAACCAACCAACCCTTTTTGGTTATTTTCATTCGCTGGTAAGTAGAAACATGAATAATCTACACTCTCAGCTTTGGAAAAATCTAGTATAGTGTAGACAAGCTGTGGAGGCTCTGCCTGAAGTAAACAGTTGTCTTTTTTTTATAGGATGGGGTGACAAACGATCACACAGTCCACCTGATGGTAAGTGGTTGCTGCGGCCCATAGACATCTATCCTCGATTGCAAATCAAAATGCAGATGCATTGTCACCCATGAGGACTAAGATGGAATGCCTCATTTCCAGTAAAAAGGGTCACCGGTTCTCTACACTCACCATACAAAATACAGCAGCATTAAGCTACTGTTTCACGCTGGTATTCTGTGAGAGCGTGGTCCTTCACCGGTCGAGCAGACCCATTTGTGCTACAACTATACTACTAATATAACTGCAGCATGGCTCTATGTCTAGTCAAGGTTCTAATGAAACTGAACAAGCCACAGATCAGGATAGTAACAATTGCTATCACAGGATGTGGCTCCTTTAACAAACATTTATTTACCATAGGTGGGGTTACAGATAGCCCCCTGTGCAGGGCATGCATGGGGGAGGAAGAAACGTTCGGAGGTCGCTGCATACAGGGATAAACATCTCGGCACGCCGGGATCGCTCCTTGAAGTTGCTTACAACATGAAAGGACTGTTGAACTTCTTCTTCCTTTATGTCGGTTACGATGAATTCGCCTATGACATGTTACTTCCAAAAAGGTTTATTTGGGACACAAACTCTGCATAAAAAAGGGAAATTGATAATACAAGAGTGTAACAACAATATTATGTGATTAATTTTGGCCAACTTATCTGTTGAATTACCTAAAACAAAAGACAGACAATGTTCTTAGAATAATAGGCTGCTGAACTTCTTTGGAAAGATTTCATGGCTCGAACAATCAAATTATTCCTTCCCACACGCAAAATACGCGCTTTGACGTGGAGTTGCGGAAAACAGCCCTTCGTAAACTAAAGTAACTAAACTAGATTCAGTTAGCGTCCTTGTTTATAATATTATTAAATTATTCAATTACCCCATCAAGTGAGCTTAATAATTTGTATGTACGTACTTAAAAGCTTTTGCGAATCTAAAAATAAGTTTCATGGTTATAGTGTTTATTTCTACAATAGAGCGAGAATTTGTAAAACAATTTTAAAATTTGAGAAAAAATCTTTTAAGCGGCTTTGATCCTCTGGATCCGCTACCGGATGTTCGTGTAGTCTAGCGAAAGATTCTTCCGTAACAGTTGTCAAAGGGCGAAAAATCATCGCGCCAAGTATTACAGAGAAATTTTTTAAACGATTTCAATAGGGAGGAGGTTCTCAGTTGGAGCACAGAATAAATAATAGTACTACGTACAGAAGTTTCACTTTTTTGATGTTGACTGCTTGCCGACGTTTAATAGCCTACATAATTATTATTAATAAGATAATTTGCGAACGCAAGCTAAATAAACCTTAATCGCTGCGCGCGAGTGTCCGTATTACTTTGATCTCTTCCTCTTTCTACATCACGGCTCTTTTTCCGTGGTTACTTATAGGGCTGTCAAGAAGGAGTAAAAATACAGTTTGTATAATATAAATAATTTATTTAATTTACAATCGTTTTACTTAAAATATAATGTTTTTTTGCCGTCTCTAAAGTACCGGTTAACGCTTCCTTTCTTTTAAATTTTGTCGTCCAATTGCTTTGGTGGAATCCGGGAACAAACGGGTTCGATTTCTGACAGCGACAATTTGGAAGTTTATGATTACTTTAAAACTATTTGTGTTTAATTTTATTTAAGTATACGGTTTAATAATAAAAACTGCAATGTTAGCCCGCTTTCATCTATGACTGCCTCATCACCATTCGCCAGGCGCAATCGCAGTGAATACCATAAATTTCAAGAACAACCCAATATTCAAGAACAATTAGTATTAATAAGAATCACTAACTCCTCCAATTTCATGCTAATCTTCAATGGTGATTTGATTCCACATTTAATTAAGTGGAATATAGGAACAGGCAATAATATCCGCACAGAAAAATAATATAGTGATATTGCACCATATTAAAAACAGATGTAATTGTAAGGACGTACTTATTTAGCTTATATAATACGTATTAACATATGCTCGTTGATCAACTATTTATGCCCACTTCTATTTACGGATCTCCTTCACCAAAGCATAGAATAAATAATATGTAGTACGACGTTACCAAGGTTTGCCTGGAAGAGATTACTGTTTAGCGATGAGGACACCTAATTGTACTTAAATATATAAATTAAGGTTGGTGTGTTATTGTAATATGTTGTATCGAATAAAGAGTATAAATTAATTAATTAATTCGTTGCGAAATGGTATGTAAAATAGGTAAGGTAGATCGAATGAACATATTTTTGCTACTATGCGAATTCTGTGCCTAACGCATGCAACTTGCAAGGTCACTCGTCGCGAATCGCGATTTAATAAATCGCTCGGAAGAAATAGGTAGGTAGTGATAACAACAAATAAACCCGAAATACGATTTCTAAATGAAATGTGATTTTATTCTCAATAGTTAAAATACTTGTAAAATGTAAACAAAGTTTTAATTTCAGCGCTTTGTGATAACTTAAAATATTTTAATTACAAAAGACATGTAAGTTACCTACTTAGATAGTGAAGTAAATTTCAACTAAGTTTTGAAATAAAGTACTAAGGTATTACTTCTGTATTTAAATTATTACTTAATTCTTTTTTGCTATAAGTATTTATTTAACCCAAAAAAATGTATCTTTCATTATCCTTAGGTAACATAAAATTGATATTATTAGAATCCTTTTGTTTGCTCATTAAGCATCTATCCACGCAACAATTACAGTAGGTTCGAAGTTTTGCCATTATAATTTATCAAATATGTAATTATATATTATTTTATACAACATTAAAAAAATTACTATTTTATCCTACAATTAAATACACTAAACCAAAATTACAACAAGTGTTTACAAAAACTATACACTTAAACAGCGTTAAAATTCATCAATCGCCTACAACGCGCTAGCCCCGGCGATTTTAGGTAATTATTTCACGTCAGTAGCAAGAGTGACAGAGGCCTGGTTCGAGTAATATCTTCACAGATTGTGAGCAAATTTTGATGATTCTTTTTTATAGGATATTATATATAAATAGGTAATTATACTTAAAAGGTGGTCTCATATCAGTTTGGAGAAAAAAATCCATCCCTTAAGGGTAGCAAATAAATAACTGCTTTTTTAGCAATTCGAAGTCGGTTTTTACTTTTTGTCAAAAGTTATAATTATCAGTGAAACAAGGTTTAACGATTTAACTCAGATGTGTAGGGAAATTTGAAATTGGTACATTAGTATTTTTACTGTCATTAAATCCGCTCTGCAGCGCCGTGGATTAGTTTGGTTGCAGCGCTGTGAGACGCGGGTTCGAAATGCGCAGGGCAGAAGAAGATAGAAGACAGAAGTTTGTATGGTTCGTACGTTTGTACAAATAATTGTTCCAGGCTTGGATGTTGTACAAGAATAATTTATGTATGTAAACCTCCTCTATGATACAGAAAGAGTAAATTCTAGCACTGGTAAACGTCCTTTAATAAAAATCTCATACAAAAAAGACTGCAAAACTGTGTGGTATGTCGTACTTTCCTAGTGTACAAACAATGCGTGTTGCCAGTATTGATATATTATAAATTTAAAACGTGTTCACTGCAGGAAGTTAAAATCACTGAGAGAGCTATGTAGAAGGCTGTACTCGTGAGGATATACATATTAACAGCGTACTAGAACCGTAATCGAGCTGAAAAGCAAGTATACCACCATATAGCTCTAAGAACATACAGTCAATGGGAAAAAAAATCTCAGGAGGCGGCTGCTACGAGGGCGGCACCGAAAACGGCAATCAAGGAAGTGACACAACATTACTATTTAAAAATGTATTTATTGCTTTTCGAAGTATTCTCCGCGAAATTTGACACATTTTTCCATATGATGGAACCAATCATTGAAGCAACCATTCCATTCGGAAGTTGGGGTCTCCAAAATTGCCGTTTGGTAGACGTCCACAGCTTCTTCAGGTGATGAAAATTTTTATCCCACGCAATTTATTCTTTATTTTAGGGAAAGTATAGAAATCATTAGGGTTTAGGTCGGGGCTGTACGGCGGATGGTCTAATAATTCTATGTTTTCTTGCTCTAAAAACTCTTTTGTTCTGTGTGCGGTGTGAGAACTCGCATTGAACTCTTTACGGAGTTCAGAAACGACCTGTGGCAAACAAATGCTAGCATACCATTCTGCATTAACCGTTCTTTGTCCCTCAAGAGGTATAGTCGTAACATGGGCGGTTTTGGAGACAAACGTGGCCACTATTTTTTTTTGCAACACTCCGTGAACGAACAATTTTTGTTGGCTTTAACTCATTTTC